GCAGGGTTCAGCCTCCCTAAGCTCAAGGCCACACTGTGGAGGAGCAGTTGTCACAAGAATTAAGAGGCCAAGTTTCGGTCTCCAGAGCGCTAGGCTTGACTCTCAGCCCGACGCTCACCGGCAGAGGCGCTCCGCACACGGCGTCTACCCTCTCCGCGTGGGTGACGGGCTTCTTCAGAACTAACGCGCAAGAGTCAACCCCGACCAACAAGGGAAATGAAATACTAGCTAACTTCTAAAGCGGCAGCAGACAATAAAGGCGATTCATTCATTCATAAAACTTACCGAGTTCTTGTGGCCATCTGCCATTGTTTTTTTCCTTCTAGAACTGAATAACAGAATTCTTTTTCCTTTTAAGAATAAACCCCAACCTTCCAGCTGGGGCTGTCAGCTACATAGATCCAAAAGCCCTGCCACAGAAGTGCACGTGGGACCCCGGTCTGGCCCTGGAAAGAAAGGAAACTGACAAGGGCCACGTGCACGTCTGGCAGAGACCCGACTGGCTAACGTTCTTCCGGTAGAATACTTCTTTGTTTTGAATTCCCACACTTCTCAATACATTTACCAGCCAATGTTTATGAAGCAAATTTTTATAGATATCCTAAAGTATTCCAACATTTCACAGATGTACACACACACACACACACACACACACAAGCTGTATTCCACGTGCGACTGAAAGTCAGGGCTGTGTGTAGATGTCTGGAGAAGCACACGGAATAGACCAAAGTGTAAACCTAAGTTTTCCATGCGCTGGGAAACCCAGACCCGCAGGAGCTCCGAGGTCCTCCCGCAGTGTCCTAGGGAAGGCTGGCCGGACCCTTGGGAGTCTCTCCGAAGCCAGACAGAACCAGATAAGCCTGTGGAGACTAAAGGCTGACCCACCAATCACCCAACTCATTCAACAAATGCGACACCCCACGTACGGTTCTTTGTCTGAGGCTGGCAAACTTTTTTCATAAAGGGCCAAGCAGTAAATATTTAAGACCGTGCGAGCCAATCCTCTGTCACAACTACTCAGCCTGCCACCGTAGCGGGGAGCAGCACAGATGGCAGGTAAACAAACGTGTGCCGATGAGACTGTCTACAGAGCTGGCGGTGGGCTGGGCTTCGCCAGCACGTGTTCGCGACAAATTACAGGGCGCTAAGGGGCTAACCCTACATTCTAGCCACAAGGAAATAAATAAAATGCTAACTTTCTGTAGTGACACGTGCTGCCAAACAAACAAAGGAAAGGAAGGGGGTGTGGATTCGGGGGGCACGTGAATGTACGGCGCCCTGACGGCCTCTCTGAAGAGAGAGGGGACAGCCACGCGGAGACCCGGAGGAAAACCATTCCCAGCAGAAGCAACAGCAGGTGGGAAGATTCAGGAGAGAACAATCTTGGGGTTTTCAAGGAAAAGCGGTGAGGCCAACTAGAACTAAAGAGCACCGGGGAAGTGGCAGACAGAAGATGGGAAGGCAGGTCAGGAGCCAGGACGTGACAAGCTCCTCCTATTTGCTCCTCGGTGCCATGGAAAGCCACCAGCGGGCTTATTTAAACAAGAAGAGTGGCAAGCTCTACAACGAGTTTTTAAGAGGTCGCCCTGGGTGCTGTGTGGTGATTAAGAGGGCACAGCAGAGGCCGAGAGCTGAGTGAGAGTCTCGGCAGTGGTCCGCCCACAGGAATGACAGTGGTGCCTCGAGCTGTCACGGCGGAGGTGGTGTGAAGCGCGTGGCCTCGGAACACAGGGTGCAGACAGGGCTGGTAAGTGCAAGTGGGTGAAACTCGAGAATGAGTCTCAGGTTCAGAGTTGGAGAGGGGACCAGGCCTCGGCGAGGGGGTGAATGGCGACGCCGCTACTGAAACCGTAAAGACGAGGGAGCGACAGCCGGCTTTGGGGGTGGGGACAGCGGAAGCCCGGTTGCGACCTTCACTAGTTTGAGATGCCGACTAGAAGCATACAGTAGGAAGCTGCACACCTAAGTCTGGAGCTCTGGCAAGAGATCAAGGCCAGACACATATGTTTGGAAATTATCAACTCAGAAAAGAATTTTAAGCTGTGGATCTAGGTGAGGGACCGAGGGACCGAGCAGCTGGAGAAGTGGCCACGGGCCGCGCCAACTTTGGGCAGACATACAGGAC